ATGTTATTGGTATTACCCATTGGTTTCCATTCTCTTCTGCTTGGGGAGGATGGTGGAATTTATTCTGTGAGATGCTGTAGTTTTATTAAATTAATGCTTTATTTTAAGATGATGTATCATGTGCACGGTTTATAATTGATCCATTCTTCTATTGCAACCTTTTTCGCTGGCGTACCACTAATTCTAATTTAAAACGTTAAATGTACCACCAACCGATTGTGTTCAGGGAAAACTGTTATTTGTGTGAATATTAACTTTGATTTTGGTCCGGAGATAGGGATTAGCTCTGTCTAGTGGGCCCAACTGTGTAGGAACCTGAAGACGGAGATAGAGTCCCATCTCCGAAACGTTTTATATTTACTAGACGATGGATAATATCCAAGTAAATTTTTATTCATTTGATTTTCTTAGTTAGTTCGCGTACCACTCAACATTGGCTCGCGTACCACCAGTGGTGCGCGTACCAAAGTTTGAGAAACACTGTTATATTGTGTAATGGCACTGTTTCAACTGCTTAGATTATATAACGTGGTGGTAAGATGATCACGAATGTTGAACAGGCACGAATTTGGAAGAAGACGAACCACTTGACTGGATTATTTTCGGGTTTTTTCTTTTATTTCGAGTTCTACATTTCGAAACCCTGCCATTTTGTTCAGCACATTGACAGACTGATTGATTTATATACTTAATACTACTACCATAATTAATGAGGAACATTAGCTGAGCGGGGCGTGTTGTAAGCATGTTGGAAATCGTCCACTTTCCCTTGGGTAAAGCTGACAGGGCGTGAAGCCAACCACTCACCTGAATCTAATGGTAAGGTCAAGAATGAGTGGAGTTATACATCCATTTCCTCATACATCTTTAAGGCTTGATGCGTAATAAGTACAAGTCACAACTTTCCTTGTACATTTGCCTTCTCTAAATATAATTATTCGGCTTGAGAACAAATGCAGTAATATCAGTTGTCATTAAATGCATTTATCCACGTCCTCTTTGAACATTCGCACACGATTAAGCCTATATTATATATACTTTAAACATGAGGGTTTATCTAATGCAAGTAATGCGGCACAACCATGATTGGTTAAAGATTAACTTGGTACTCTGCGAGTAACCTGGTTATAATCGGACAGCGTCAGTAAAATCTCGTCGAGAGATAACGCTGATCAAGTGCTTATAGCGTAATGCTCCAGACTTGTATTCTAATGGTAACGAGTTAGAGTCTCGGTTAGCGAATATATGAAGTTTTTCAACATTTTTACTGATTCACACAACAACAAATGCGAGACAGTAAGCCTACAGTAACTTCAGACAGATTACTGCAGCCTCCTTCCAAACCCCTACCTTTTCACAATTCATCACCATGTTATGTCGCCTGAGTGGTCAGCTTTACTGCTTCGCATTTGGGATTTGTCGGAGGTCTGGTATAATTGCTGAGAATTTATCTTGTTCCCCCTTCCCCTCCGCGAAAAATTACGGGATAGTGGCTTAAAATAGGCCACGATCACTTCCTTCTGCATCCTTCAAACATTCGTTTATGGGGTTATATAAGACAGTGCAGGCCATACGTGCTGAGAAGATGAGTTGATTCGTTTATCTGCTCTGAGTTCAGCGTTAGAACGTATTTGTTCTAAAATAATAACTTTCTAGCTAGAATAGATAAAAATCTAGATCATTGATAATGCGTAATCGAAAGGATCACAAAGTGTATTGCACAGCAGGTACGGTTGAGAATTTGTTGAACAGCTGAGATACTGTCAGTTTTCGAATGAGGACTTTGCTCCGTGGAGCAAAGTAGTAAATGATGAATGCGTCTTCTGATTGGTGATAATGCTGTCGATGCTTGTAGGAATGTGTATCGCGGTGTTCTGGAATGCGGAACACTGCAGCCGTCTCAGGACCTGCAGCTAACAGAAAAACATATCTGAAACACATTAAGAATACCGGATTAGAGTGATCACATCTCAGTAGTAACTAAATGCATTGCGAACTACTTTAACAACCAGTAACGTATTTTGAATTTATGGAGTTTATATGATTCTGATAATCCCCGATCTTTGTAATGGTGAGTCTTGTTTTCTCTTTGAGGTACGAGCTGAATTGTTAAATATCATTCAGACGAGCTTAGACTTTAAAGGGATAAATAAAGTATCTTGAGGAGCAGTCAATTTTTAAGTGGTTTTTTTACTGGTCAAAAATATTAATTTAGCCGTGATAATTATAATATTGCTGCAAGAATTTTGCAAGTTTAGATTTTGTTTCTTTGTTCATTTTTGGTTTGTACGTTACCGTCTGAAGTATTTAGTGCGAAATAAAATGAGCGGATGATTATTTACAATATAGAATGAACAAATTTCTGGTATATTGAAATAAAACATGTTATTTTCACCTACATTATACATTTACAATTATAATTTTGCAAGATGACGGATGAAAAACTTTGTCAGAAATTCTCTTTTGCTGTTTAATGAAAATAAATAAATCGTAATTGACTTGCTTATTAAAGCTTTAGTCCAATGAAAGCAGAGACGAATTATGGTCAGAAAGTCAGGTTTTTGCGTAAATACTCCCATTTACAAACAATAGAATATTGGTTTCATGCATCGCAACACAGAATTTTAAATTACGCAATATAAAGTGATAACTTTTCTCTCTATTTTTGTATCACAAATAGCCTGTAATTTCACAAATATGGAACCAAATCCTTTAAAGTTTAATCATTCGATTGTAAATTCTCATACCCACATACTCACTTGGTTAAGTTTGAGCCTTTAAACATTTTAGGTGCATGGTTGTTTGCCTCAAAGTACAACCACCCCATCCTGATTTGTATTAACTGTAAATCGACTGTTTTAATAAAGAATGTTGATCAATATTTTCCTTTATTCATTAACAAAATAGTGTTAATTAACATTTTTGACATGTTGATTAACAAAGTCAAAATGTTTTGTCAATAATACTTTTTCATTATTTTCTGTATGTTTAACAACATTTACACGTGAATAATTGCAATCCAGAGTAAGCGCGTTCTATTATTATCCGCTGTCAGCCGTCTGAAGCTATTTATCGAAGTTCGTGCTTTTTTATGTTATATATGTTATATACGATGACAGTCGTACTTCTGGATATATCGGAACAATCACTCCTACATCTAGGGTATGTTTTATTTTAGATTTACTTTTATTTTATATTATTTTTATTTATACCTTACTGCTACTTTCTAACTATAATTTATATATTTTGCATTTTATTCTCTAAATTATTTTATAAATTCTTTCAAATTCTTTAGTGTTTCTTTCAATCTTCTACTTACAGACCGATATGTACATCTGATAAAATTTAAGAAAAGACAACACCTCGCCCAAAATTGAAAAACAAATGGCATGAAACATCACCAAATGGAATCATATTTGAGTTTTAAGTTCGTAAATATTTTACACCTGAAGATGGTTTTATAAAAACTGAAACATGTTGTGTAAAGGATGTTCCAAAATGTAAATCGATCAATCGATATGGAACATCAATGATATTTTATTATCTTAATTATAAGAAATTTTAAATATTGTGATAAGACGGATTAAAATAAATAATTATAATCCGATCCACGGTTCTCGATATATTGCAAAGCGAACAGTTTTTCGCTTCCGAAGGCGTCAGGAGCAGAATGTATTGCGATTTAACAATGCCTGCATATCCTAAAAATAAATAACTGGATGACTATAAGACACTACAAGAAAACTGGTTTTGTGTTTCGTTTGTTGCTACGAGGGAAATAAACACAGAACCCAAATCAGATGATTGATGATAGTGAGTGCAATTTTTCATTGTTATGTAATATTGCATAATTATACGTTAACATGAAATACGCTAACAGGAGAATGTGATTGTTGCTAGAGAAACACAGTATGGAAAGGGACGCGTATTTATGTAAGCAGTGTTATTGTCAGACTAAGGAAATGACAGCATTCCTACACCTCTTGAGGAAATTTCAAATTCTGCAGCTCGTGTTATAAGCGCGTGAAACTTTGTCTGACACTTTTTTTTTTGGGGGGGAAGGAGAAGTGAAAGTATTATGATGCTGGAAAATAAGGCTGAGATCAGAAATTTGGACCCAAGAGACATGCACTAACAAAGGATATGTAGAAAAGTGCATAATAAAAAGTTTTATAGTTTGTGCCCTTCAAGCAGTATAGACAACCTTACAGTGATTAAATGGAAAGTTTTACACTCTGGGGAAGTTTTGCGTAAGCGGTTGATATCAAATCGAATTTTAAGTAAATACACTGTGTAGACTTGAAGTTAGACACGTAATTTAATGCTTAGATTTTGTGGTGACAGTGATGAATTTTTGAGCTCTGTGGCTAACGTAAGTCTTCTGTGGAGGGGGGTCTTTTATAAACAGGTGTGAATAACACTATTTAAATTGTAACTTTTACGGATTGTATACAGTGTAAAATTTTAATAACAATCTGAATTTATATTTGAATCTTACACCTACCTTTGAACCTCGGAGCTGCAAAATTATAAGAAATTGGATTTACAGTTTCTTCCTTAAAAACTGATCTTGGCTTGTTGTCATGATCGGTGGCAGATTTTCGTCTAAGCTGCAGGCTGTTATCTGCAAATTGATTAATTCGCACACGATAAGCATTGAGATTTGTGGTGAACAAGTCTATAATTACAGTGCACGTTTATAACTTTTATTTTGCGATGTATTGCACTGTGATTGCTAATGTCTGTTCACTGTCACCAGGTATAACACTCACTAGATATCGCTAGCATTGCTACGTAATTTTAACTAATGGCTCTGAACATTATTTAGTACCTTAGTCACAGATAATTAAAAAATACGTCATTTTTAGTGCAAACTGACTGATTGAACGAATAGTGAAAGAGGTTTTTCTTAGGCAGTGAGTCATCTCTCATTCCTCGAATTTATTATTTACCACGAATTATCTTGATACACATCCAACAAGTTCGAAACAATTGTCTGAATAAGCGAAAATCAATAAAAAAAAGATTATACGATTTATTTTTCGTTAGAAGTTATTAGGGTAAATCGTTGGATAGAAGTTTCCGAGCTCCAATACAATACCACTGCCAGTTGTACTCTGATGTTTTCAGAAATGATAGTAGACTAAAGAATAATAACTGGACATTACGAATCTAATTATAATTCCCAGTCATGCGCAAACGTGACGGTTTAATGTGTTGGTGAGGGTGGGCTTTGAAAGAGGGATGGGTGGCGAAAGTTGTCAAGAGGTAAGGGGGGGTGCAGAACGGGAACAGGGTACGGCGGGGAGGGTACTGTAAGGGATTCATCAAAGTAATAAAGGCGAAATGCTGCTGTGTTGGGAAAATGGGATGAGATGGATGGAGCGGGCATTGGAAAGAAAGAGAAGGATATACATTAAGGAGTGGGGGTAAATGGTTTAACGTTGTTCTCATAGATGGCTCTGCCGGAGACATGTTGTGTCCGCCTCCCGCATAGTTGTGTACGAGGAGAAACGCGTGGAGACGTCTCTTCAGTGTGGTCCAGGTAGAGCTCTGCAGGGGACGTACGAAGCCGCGTGTGGCGGTGTTTACAGCCTGTTCTTGGCTACGATTACTTCAGTATAATCAATGATAGCCGTTGCCGCAAGTGGACGACTTCGTTCTCCTCTGAAGATTATCGACATTCATCCTAAAATGAGTTAAGACCGAAAACAAAGAAATGCTTGATGACTAAGTGCGCCTGAGATATTAACATTACGTAGAAGAAAGAGTCTTATGTGTTTGTAATTACATTCGATCTGCGTAGCAGATAATGTGAAGTAATAATACTCGTTTCACGCTATTCTTAACTGTTACATAAGATGTTGTGAATTTGTGCACGTGAACATTGTGACAGAGGCAAACCACGAATGACAGCTGTTGTGTTGAATCTAAACGGACGTGCGAGAATCAGAATGTGAAATATGTTTTGAAAAATAACTGGTTTTTGAAGCACTTTTATATGTCAATTGTTGTCTTTTCTGTAATTTGAGGTGTGTCAAGTCCAGCATTTCTTTCGTATGTCCATTGTGTTTTGCAATGATCTCTCAGTTGTACGTTGTTAACACATATTCGCCGTACAGGAACAAACAGTTGATGACGTTTTAATCGCTTAAAAGAAATAGAGTTGATACTGTAAGATATTTTAATGTGAATCTGCGGAATTAAAGAAATAAGAACTGTGCTTGAAATATGAACAGGTTTCGTGGGTGTAGTAAAATAACGTATATTATTGTAGTGAAAGCTTGAAATTGACAACATTATACGAAAGAAATTGGTATTCTCGTGGTTCAAACGTGATGAAGGGCAAAGAACATCAGTATTTTTCTGTTATTATTATACGAAAGAAATTGGTATTCTCGCGGTTCAAACGTGATGAAGGGCAAAGAACACGAAATGTTATTAGTACTAACTGTGTAAATTTACGTGAAAATGTGGACATATTGAGCGGGTAACGACGTCAGTCACTGTGGTTAAAGAGTGTTCTAAAACATTTACACGAAGGCAGCAAGTTCTGTGTTAATTCGCATAAAACAAGTTGGAGAGAGGAAACGTGCTTCGTGTGTTGTTTGATATTGGGAAAGTTTTATTGTCTCTGTGACAGGATAGTTTTTTTGTTGTTGTCGTATTTAGTTCATCTAATTAACTTTTTACGTGGGCACGGGCGAAGAGACAGACTGAAGAGAAGGTGGAGAGACGGGGAAGATAAATCTTGCGCCACAGGGACGAAACTTCGTTGCCACCACGTCGGGTAAGTGTGGGAAATTCAAACGTACCCTCCTCCCCCGTTTTAATTATCTCCTTACTATCGTACAGCTTCATTCATTTTGTACTAGAGGTTGCCTGTCTGGCCTGTAGTGACGTGCAATCGCAGATGCAGTAGCAAGGAAATTTATCCTGGTCTGAAAACTAACACCCCTCCCCTGATGATAGTATTAACCATTTGAAGCCCAGTGGTAACTATGTGTCACACCTGCTTTACATAAAAAAAACAATTCATTTTGTGTTCGCGGGTTTCGTGTAATGCTCAATATAAACAGCGATTATTTCATCAACAATTCTTAAATAATTTTTAAGCGATATTCGACTTTAAAGGGTTAAAGAAGTCGTAAATTTAGGTTGTTTCTTAAAATGTTTAAAATATCAAACGCAAGACTGTGACTTCCTATTGACACAAAATTAACACCATCTCTCCTTCTCCTACCAAATGCGCAGAAAATGTTCTTGATTTGTTGCAAGCTTTTTTTGACTTATTTCTATATATTTACGTTGAAAAAAATCACCCAGGTTCTTACTGTATAGCTTTTGTTTTCAATTGTCCGTCGCGAAAACGGGGGTTTCTAATAAACTGTCAGATATTTAGGAGTGGAGATTTCATATTAACCGTGTTTAGTTCGGCTAACACGTTACAAAATGATATCTCGCTATTTTAATTTCGCAACCTTTGCTTTACGCGTGTTCCGTGTTGTGTAACTTGTGGTTGCACATCACAGAAGATGATTTACGACGTGTATATTCAGTTACCAAAGTTTTCAAAGCCTCTCCTTCTGGATTTAGCTGTGGTCGGAACTGTAAGAGTCTGGATGTCTTATTAAAGTCCTTGAAAGCAGTTCTTGAAAACAGACCTACTTATTCACTCTTCTCCGCTGCCAGTGTTCGTATTACAAGCTCGTCACTCCTATTATATAAAATTTAAACAAATCATAAAATCATGAATATACTTCTTGTGCATCGAAACGTTAAATGTTGATGGGGCCCCGTCATTTGGGACGGGCAGCACGTGGTTGTCGGGAAATTTGATCTAATAAAGGACGTCTTTCCTTTGATCTAAATAAGAATATAAACCAGCCTGAGGCACACGTAAATGTTTATTTGTCACGTGTGTCAAGCCTGTTTAAAAAAGTAGGAACAACTCGCATTGTACGCTGATGGTGTTACATTCATCCCTCACATTTGTTCCTTTCTGTGTTCTTATAAAATATGGTAATTGCAAAAAGAATTTTTAAAATAAATTCCTGCGAGTTGTACGAAGGGTTGGGGGCATCGTACATAATCCCATCCATTTAGAAGATATTTTGAATTTGTTTCCAGATTTCGAGGATCCCATGTTGTCAGTGATTTGTGTATAGAGAATACAAGTGGCATGAATGTGTGGTATGTAGTTGTACTCTGTAAACACTTCTGGTTACGAGTTCTTTATTGGTCACATTTATTACCCTCTGCAGAAATATGCTGTTTTTTATGATCATGACGCCTATCACAGTAGCATAAAAGGTGAGGTAAGAACATAGTTGCATCTAATATTAATGCTTTGTCATTATCTACAACAAATGTTATAGTATATATTCTCGTGTGCCTGAATCATGTTTTATGTCTTACCGTAGTCACTAGATCCAGTCTTTATGCACTGACTATTTTAACAAAAATTAATAGTCTTAAAAATTAATAGTCATTTTGAGATGTAAATTTGCTTTTTAGATTCGTAAAGTTGTGAACAAGTCGTGTAAACGTTAGCGATTTAGGGTTTAACCCGCTGAAGGAGACATCCGCTGTTTTGTAAAATGTTGGTTATTTGTCGAATATGAATAAGTTCATCGAATGAAGATGCAGTTCTCATTGCCTGATTAATTTTGTGTTTCCTTCTAATAGGCCAAAATGAAGGCTCTTATTATTATTATTATTATTATTATTTAGTGTTCTGTCTGACGACAGGTCCGTATGAACAGGATCCTTCCATCCTTTTCTCGGACTGGGACCTGTTCATATACGTTCTTGGCAGATGATCCAGAAGTGGTTTGCCATTGCCTTCTTCTGTGTGTGAATGGAGTAATTGTTGGGATGCCACGGAGAAACCGGGGAAGCCACCGGAGGAAAACTCCGTGTTGCCTAGACCACGGCCTTGCCCAACACAAGTTATAAATTCGGGCACCGCCGGGAATCGAACCCGAGACCCCAGGATTACAAGGCCGCAATTGGAGGCTAATATTCATGCAGTATTTTTTAGGTACTTATTGTAACAAGAAAAAAATCTCCGAGGGCTATGTTGAGTGTATTTAGGTATAACATTTTTCAAAACTATATGATGATCATATTCAAAACTCAAATAAACTATATTAAATTCCTAAGTATTTAACATGTGTTGAAACTGGACTGTAAATAGTCTATAGCCTCAGGCAACTTTGTATTGTGGAGATTATGTTTCTGGGTAACGTTGTCAGGTAGGCGTGGGTTTTACACACCAACGTTTCACAACTCCTTAGCGCGTTACTGTTCGACTTGAAGTAAGATTGTAATTTACTGCAAACCGCTGCTGTAGAGTCTGTGCTATGGTAACGTCGCCCTTAAGACAGATCCACGTCAAACTATGTGTGGTTTGGGGAGTACAGTACGGCACAGAAGCACGATTCTTTCTCTGAATACGTAGGATTCCGCCTGCTAATTATGCAGCCCGTACTCCTCACTCATCTATCACCGCCTAGCCTACTAGCCAGAGCAATGTCAGAACTTTGCTGCTATGTTAGAACTTCACCTTCGCCGTCATTTTTTCCGAGTATTTCTGTCATAAGGCAAGCTTGGTTTGAACTGTAGATCCTTTGCTAATTAATCCCAGCGCATTCCTGTCCAAAAGCATCGTCAGTAAATACGTATAGGATACGTGGAGATACATCTCCACGCATTCTAGACCTCGGCATAAATGGAAACCGTTTTACCCCAGGGAAACAGCGCCTGATAAGACCTAGTGGGCACCCGGGTTGCTTTGAACGTGATGGTATGAAAGTAATCTTGCCCCTGTTGGGAATCGAACCGCTGTCGTAACTGCTATGGAAGCTATTTCTTTAAGATTAGTTGTCCGTGGTTTTAAAATCATGCTTCCACCTGTGGCTTTGTCTTCCACGTGGTATTTTTTTTTTTTTTTTGCAATTGGAGGCTGTGTGGGGCCCCGAGATCTTTCTGATAAATACTAATAATAATAACAAAATAATGTTAATTGATGTGTGATAATATAATTTTTTCCCTGTAAATACCTGAAACGGCTTGATACATTTGTTTGATGCAGACCTAATTTGGTTTTGTTGTATTATATTAACAGAAATTTGAAGCAATTTCAACTTGGGTAGAGTTGGTAATTAAAGTAAAATATATACTGAAGATAAAGGCTCTAATGAGGCAGTTTCGATCGTTGCATGTTGTAACACCGCTTCCTTGAGGGCCGAATAATGGTCAGTGGAAATGAATTGAAATAAAGTGGTATAAGTTCAACTCGTGAAAATTACGTAACGTTAGCAACATTAATCTTTCTGTTTACCATGCATCACGCTTTATATTGTATGCAACCACTATTAAATGAACTAATTATCTGATGTTGGGCGGGGCGGATGTGAGCAGATTAGTGTAGAAATTATAGTAATTATTCGTTTTATAGTAGAAGTACTTTTGTTACGCAGTTAACGGTGGCCTATGAAGCCACAAAAGTTGAAAACCAGCGCTGTCGTAAAGATTGCTTGCCATGACGCAACACTTGTTTTCCGCCCTCCCTCCAACACCCCCTCCCCCCCGAAAGATGAACCTCAGATTTACAAGAAGTCAGAGATGTATGTTGAGTTCCCAAAATATGTTCGTTGTCTATTTTGTTACCGTAAGTGTACCCCGACATACTTGGTAGGTGCGTTCCTGGAGAAAAGCCAAGAAAGTGAACAGTGGCGGGTTCATATGCACATTATAATGAACCTTCTTGTTTCATAAGAATCTCATGAATACCTGAGAGATTTGTACCTTCTCGAGAAAGACAAGTTTCGCGGACTTCGTCGTGAAAGTCCTTTCGCCGAAAGCTGAGATATGTTCCGAGTTCTTAACTCGTCGTTATATTGCATCCGCCATAATCATATTTTCATCATAACATAATCAGTGGCGGAGTGCTCATTCGAATCTGTAACCCCCTTCTTGCCTTTATGCCTGCACCCTTATCTCGCCTCAACTCCATTAGTGGAGCTTCGGTCCCCCGCAGTTGTCATTATTTCGTGTTGTACAGCTTCCTGGCGAGAGACGCTGTTGCCGTACCATTTCAGTCTTAGTAACGGATCTGCACATTCCGGTTACATGTACGTGTTCTATGCTTTCCGTAATGTTCGCAAAACTATTTGGATTATGTTTGTGTCAGCTGACGCATGGTCGTTTTATGTATGTTTATTTTTGGTTTATTTAATAACACTTTACATTTCCCATGTATAGCATTGTTTGGTAAATTGATTAATAAATGATGATTTGGAAAGGATTTTGAAGGAAGCGGGAATGGTCTAGTATAATGTACTGCCACTAATAACCCGGAACGTATGTGGAAAACCATGAAAACAACTTCGGTCAGGTTAGTCGGTTTCCGGACCTAGATTTGAATCCGATAGAGCCTGAATACGAAGTAGATGTACGAACCTCTTCATTGCTATGTTTGGTTGCCATGATTAAAAATGGGCGGTACTTTAGATCCATTCTTCCGTGCCTCTGAATGGCGTGGATGAACAGAGATAACTTTATCTTTCCTTTGTGGGTGTCTACTGTACAAGCTGTCGTGATAATTTAATATTTGTTCAACACAACTCCTACTTTACATGAGGTCCAATCGAATATATCGATTTTATGAAAATAGACGTTGAGGAGGAAAGGAAGATGTGATAACGAAGAAGAAACAGCTAATAAGGAGGAGAATGATCCAGTTTCTTCTGCACATGTAGGTCTTCGTGCGAAGTTTCCGTCATTGTTATCCGAGTTCAACCAAATTTGGAATGTGACCACAAATTTTTTACCGGAACTCCCATTATCAAATTTCATGAAAGTCCGTGGAGCCGTTGTGGAGTGTCAAAAGATGCGGACGGTCAGGGCGAAACTAATAAGTGCATATTCACACGTTTTAGTTTGCGAATGGACCTAAAATGAACTATGGGAGACATATGAGGAGGTTAGCGAGAGAAATGTAATGTGGTAAAGGAGCGTGAGATGATGATGAAGAGGTTTGGAAAGTCATTAGTTGTGAGCAACACTTCCGATGTGACGTCTAGTTCCGCGACAGTGTTTTGATTGACCTGATTGGCAGGTTGTCGTGATGCCAGTAAGGATTAATGGTTAATGCTAGTTTGATCGCGTAATCGATTCTTGTGAATGACACACGTACCTGAGTTTACCAAGATGTTGATGGCAAAGTGGAAATCCCAGTACGCCGTGCGACTAGGGGAGCGTACCGTGAGTCATATCAACTCTGCGTGTTTGAATTAACTGGTGTAAAGAGGCGTAGGCGGAAAGTGTAAAACTAATGCAGCAGAGATAAAAGGACAATAATTTATTACAGTCTTCAGAGTTATCCACAAAGCAAATGTCGGAACAGTACCTTAAACCAGGCCAATACTGCGGCTACTGACGTGTAACACCTGCCTTTATGCAGATTTTTCAGTCTTAAATTTCCTGTATGTAATTTCTATTACTACTGATTTTGATTGTGTTTATTTACAAGGTATGCCGCTATATTTTCGTATACTGGACGTGTTTGTAGAATGCAGAATTAATGGGCATGTTTATTGTAACATTTCGGACACACAGTTTCACATCTCAGTCTCGAATAACCCGTTATTATTTATCACTATCAAACTGAAGGCCCAGTTTCTTTTAAAGATTTCTTAAAACACCAAGTTTCGAGACTCTGTATTGACCCTTTGAAGCTGAAGTTCGTCTAAATAATATTTAATAATTCAATCCGTACTTTAAAGTAAACACAACCCTTCACAATTACATAAATAAATGTGTTAATGCTGTTTAAGGAAATAATCGATGTTTTCACTGAGAACACCCATGGTTACAGAATGCATAGTTGTTGATGGTTAAATCACGTGGACTTTACTTGGTTAAGTATCACTCCCACCTCAGATTTTAGCGTAGTCGGCTTTATGACGTCAAATAACATGATGATCTTACCAGGTTTTATGAAAATCCGTATTCGAAAGTAATTGAGAATAGCAGGCACTCTGACACATTCACGACAAGCCTCAGAAGAGTGTGTGCCCTTCATCAAGGAAAGCGCGTGATGAATGCATTGTGCTGTTAATTTCGCATCTCATCTCATCTCATCTCATCTCATCTCACCACTGCTGCATGAAGTTGGGATGCTGTGGTCGGTCCAGAGCTGCTGTGTCCCGACGCGACGTCTGGGTCCAAGTGATGGCGGGAGGCGCCTCGACCAAGGTCGTCTTTACGCTTCCCCCCTTCCTCCCCAACCCCGTCACTCTCACTCTGTCTCTCGTTTCCACCCCCTCCTCCTCGTCTTCTTCGTCTTCTTGTAGGAGAAGGAATAGCGCAGACTCCATTTATAACTTCCTGAATACTTTTTCGCTCCTTCCCTTCACCCTGTTTGTTTTATCCTATGAAAAGTTTGGGAAACTTCGAAAACTTTGTTCTTAAGGCCTTGCATACCTGTTTCTATAGAAATGAAGAGGAAGTTTGTTTAATTTGTTTTCCCCCCGTATTTTTGTTTACACTAAATCTTTATTTTTCAAAGTTTATGAATCTATGAGTACGTAGTTCACACCTCCGAACTCACGAAAGGTAGAACCTGAGTGATGATATACGGGCCACGCTTTCATGTACTGTAAACGATATCTGTCGGCAGAGAGAATATTTTTTCTTTCCACTTTCCAGAATTTCACAAGAATTCTTTTGTAAAAAAAGATGGCTGTCTTCTGGATTGTAGCGTCATGCAGTCTGGTAGAAGTTTACCAACGTTTCGGAGGCCCTTGCTGCCTTCATCATGAGGAACATGAAACTTATCGCCCTTCAACCAACTACGCGGTGCTACAACCCAGAAGACAGCCATCTTCGTACTCACCACCGCGAGGACCTCAAATCCTAATTTGTCTCTAAGTTTCACGTATGTAATTTCAGTACGAAAGATCATAATATTACTTGGATATTTAAACCCTCCATCCTCCTTTTTATAGCGTTAAATTTAAGTTCTAAATATAGTTAAAAGTTTAAGGAAAGAATATATTAGGTATAATTTAGTTACGAGACGCATTTCATTTTGTAGGCCCAAATATATACTTACCTTTCTTGTGTCGTTTTGTCGTAATCTTATAACTTCTTAAATATTGTGTGTGATAGTTAAGTTTTATGTTTCACAAAATTTTGGCTCTTGCGAATGTAAAACAGCCATCGTTTTCATGTTTTCTTTCACATAAGAAGCATTCTTTTGTTAGTATATTCTATGTTGCCATGGAGAGGAATTACTAAGAAGCCGCAACGTTTTCTTAACAGTCGAGAAGATGGAGGGAGATGTTCAATGCTTTGACCTTATCAAACACGAACGTAATTCATAATTAGAATAGTTCACAGCGAGATATCGCCTGCTTGGCTTCGATAGGATTAATGCAAAGTAGTTCTATTCCAAGCATTTCTCGCTGTTTCGTCTTCCTTAAGTGTTAACTAACGGTTGGTTAAAGTGGCTTTCTGCCCTTGAAGCTACTTTCAGTTTTAAAGAGGTTTAAGCCCTACTGTGTCCTCTTTGTTTGCCTGCTTGTTTAGTTAACTGTCGCCCTCTCATAATAAGGCTAATTGAGACCTACAAAAATGCTATTCTTCTGAAGCATAGCTAAGGCTTTTTACATTCCGCAACACATGACCTTTTTATGGTGTTCAAATAGACAAGAAAATATACTTTAACAAGTATTAAAAGTACTCTCGAACTGCATTGAAAGACAGCACATAAGAATTAAAAGTGGTATGCTATTTTCTTATATTCTGTTCTAGATTAAATTCTAGCTGCCATTAAGTTCTGAAAATTACTGTTTCTTCCTCAAGTCCTGTCCGAAAACACAGAGATTAAAATACATAAAAACTCTGGAGTATTTGCTGAACTGACGTACACATGCAGGGAGATTATAGCCAAAAAGAGAGACCCTTAATTTTATGGAACCCCTGAATTAATGTTTCAGTTTTGTATGATGAAATCTATCTTAAATAATGTCTCAAAACAAAAGAAATGCCCATTTTAACCACTTCCATGTTATGTTAATGAAATTTATTTTGTCATGTTGCCATGGAAACGTACGCCTTTATTTTCAATTACTCAGCAGTCAGAAATACTTAGGTGTTAACTACTGTGACGTGGCATGAAACATTTCCTTCACTGATCTCGTTCAACACCAAATTAATCCAAGACAGAAGTGTCGATGTTAGTGCATTGGAGTGAGGTGTCTTGTGCTTAGCATCAAACGGTCTGTCATATCACAGAAGCATGATTTAAGATTCGTACTTAAAAAGAAGTCAACCTTCGAGATGTTGCTTCCATTTTAAACTTGTTTCTTTCTTTTATACAGGCGGAAAATAATTTATTGATTTTGTGTCCTTCACAGTCAACTACTAAATCAGTGTTTAGAGACGGATCCAGTTTGTAAGTGAAAAAGATAATTAACAGCTCTAAAAATTTGTATTTTCGTTTCAGAAGGTTTTACCCGTGTTAACTCGCGATTAAATTAACTACATGAATCGGCGTTATTTTTTGATAAGTAAGTAATTTTTTTCATATAGTCATGAAATTACTTACCTTTTCATGGAACTCGAAGTTTCAATGACGTCATCTTCTGCCTCGTATCTTGAGCCAGTCTAATCCAATCTGTATCCTCACACACTGTTTTCTGCGGATTTATTTTTGTATTAAATTCCCATCTATCCCTTATTGTATTGTATTGTAATAAATCGGTTTTATTGGAAAGCGGTTTCAGTCACACACAATTTATATTATTATTATTAACAGCATTCTTTCTTATTAGGATACTGAATTATGCGTAAAGCGACGAATTTGATGGGAATGTAATCATGAATGGAAAATAGGTAAAGATTTCGAAGGTGTTGGAGGTTATTTAAGGCTTCTGTTTTGTCAATATTCTAACCTCGTACTTCCAGAATACTAATTTACAGTGTTCCCGCTACGTGAACCTGTTCCATAATGTACTATATTTTTTAACAGGTTTTGTCGATGAATCTCTACCTCCGTTGAACAAGGGTCTGTCCGGAATCGGTCAGGTTATAGTGAATAAAACGGGCCGCAGATATGTGGCAATGGTAGGAAAAAGAAATTGTAACTAATTTTAAATGGTTTGCTTTGGAAACAGCTAATTATGTTCAGCTCGAGAATTTGAAATGAGGTTTTTTTTTTTTTTGACAGGTAGTGATTATCATGGTGTTGCACTAGAAAGCAGCTGTACACGATTATTAGCCCACTCGTCGTGATCTGTTCAGAGCTGAGCAAAAGCGGTAATCATATACTTAGCCGAACGAACCGTAAATAACAGTCATATATCCTTAACTAATTGGTATATTGGGTTTTAATGCAAGCAGTTTTATATGTCAGAATTATATAGTTTTTCTGTTTGAAGAAATCGTAGTAGAAACGAGGCAATCTAAAGGTTATGGGCATTCAACAACAAACGAATCATTTATATTTTTATTATGAACTACTTTCATTGTACTGGGATTTTACACGGGCTTAGTTTTTATTTGTTTTGTGATTGATCGAGTATTGTCACAGGGTAATGACAGCTTCAACGGGCGTTGGGGCGGTGAAATTCATATTGTAAGATTGAAACAGTAATCAGATTCTCATGTGTGTAAGTGGCCAGGCAGTTGGAAAGTGAAGGACAGAGAACAAAGAAAGAACTGAAATAAAGGGGGGGGAAAGCAGATCAAAGAAGAAGAAGAGATACGACTGATAGTTTAAGTACCATCGTTCTACCTAAGTCAATAAATAAGCAATGTATGGTTTTGTTATTAATAAAATATGTATAATTAATGTCACAAATGTCGATGACCTTCAGTTGATTTATCATCAGCTGACATTTTCGTTTTAAGAGCAGCGGAAAATACGCTCCTGTGTCTAGTACGAGTAAGTTACTGATCATTTCAGTGAAGGTTGGGTTTGCGAGATTTTATCTGGTGATTTTCATAACTCGATGTGGACACACGCAATGATCCATTGAGTGGATTAGGTGAATAGAGCATTTCATTTATTAATTAAGAATTCCAGCGTTCCAGGATAGCCAGCAAATGAACAATTGAGTGATTTTGTTATTAGTTGAATGTTTATAATCGACAGATTTAAGAATTCAGAACAATAACGCCTGCCTTTTATTTCACGTAAAAATCGTTTGATGGCTGTTGCCCGAGGTATATTTAATGCGCGCAGCGAGTGTTGTTCCGACCGCAAATATTCGCGTGGTAACCATGTTGGCATTATTGATGATATAAATTAAAAATTACAAAGGTCGAGTGGTTTCCAGGGGGCATGACGTCCGTACCAATTTTAATGAAAATCACTTAACTTGTTTGAAAAGTTTTGTGAACAGCTGACACACGCACACCGTGAGATTACAATTCCGAAGAAGGGAAGTTAGGCTATGAACTAACGTCATTTAATGAAATCCTTTCTTTTACCTTTGTTGTTTCGTGTAAGGCAAAGGTTTTTTTATCTTTCCATGGAAACGACTCGTATACAAAACATCTAATTCAGCATTTATGACAGTAATTAATTAACGAAATACGTTTTCAATAATAAAAATGGAAATTTAGTCCTTGTATGTCGTGGAACTGAAAGCCAGTAATGATTGTGTTTTGTTTCCACATGGCGCTGCGGTTTGGTTGAGAGTAACACGATCGAATGCTTCGTGGCTCCAAATGATCATATAGCCTGTCAGGTTTGAAAAGAGAACTACCTACGCTCTGAATTATAATGGATAGTACATAACAACGCATTTCATCTCTGTCTTACTAATCTCGTTGTAAATGTTTATTATTTCTTATTCTGTAGAGGCGGGAAGAAAGATATAATTCTTTTTCCTTCTATTATGAGTTATGATATACAGGCAATAAGTTCATTACATTGAGGACTTTTTTCTTTTAAATGATGATGAATTGGCAGCGGTTAAAAACTACAGGGTGTTTCAGAAAATATTTATATTTCTCCTAATGGAAGTTATTCTCGTTCTTTTCGCATATATGAAATTCTCTATGTATAGTTTGGAACTGGCAGAATTATTTTTAGATCATAGAATCATAGGGCCTAATAAATGTAAACTTTGTCATAAAAACACCGATTTATGGCTGAAACATTACATTTCTTTACTGTACGGGAAATGAAACCGCTGCCAAGAATTATGCACGTCAATATTAAGTTTTCTTTGTGGTACGGACTGAATTCTTAAATACTGCTTAGACGACTGTGTTTATCTCGTTAAATGCTGTCTTTCTCATCATTCTACCTCCACTTTCTCATCTCTCTCATTTGGCTTCGGTTGAACTTCAAAGTGTTAACAAAATTAAACACAGATTTGCAAAGTGTGGTCCGTGAGCTTTATTCATGTGATATGAAGAACAACTTGGATTGCAGATGAGTTACGAGCCAATAATCAATAAATATATATATATATATAGATAATTGCCAGGATGCTTGTTTATTAAACTAAGTACAGTACAAACTACTTTACTTCCGTCTTTAGCGTCGAAAGCACGGCGTATTATACTGTTCAACAAGAGGCAGACAAGTCATTTTAAGTGGTCCTCCAACACCCTCAGGAAGTTTAAAGTGGTCCGGGAAAGCAGTTTGGGAACCATTGGTCTAAAGGATTTATAGTTTCAGAATTAGTTTGACTGAAACGTATTTGAAATGAAATTGATGAAGAGGTGTGTACCATAGGATGCTGCATAACTAATAAATACGGATTGAATATCGATTATCAGATATTATTAAGATTATCGAGATAAAGGAGGCGTATATTCCGGATGGGAGGGACAAGGAGTGCATACTGAATTTTGGTATGGAACAATCCTAGAAGAACCGCCGATGAGAGGATAACATTAAGTAGGATTTCAAGACGGGAGGTCGCGAAACTAACTCAGGATAGTGTCCGGTTGCGACCCTTATCATTAGCGATATTAGACAGAGTTCTACTTCCAAAGAGTCACGCGATAAAAGAATTAAATTTTGGCTGTAGTTTGGGAGTATAAAGAATATTTATTGATAATTAAAGTAAGTCTATTATCATACAACGTTCATACATCACGTGTATCTAATTTTCCTTATGCTCCGCCTGACGCACGCTCGTGAAATATGAATTGTATTAAAATTTAATTTTCCATAACACAATTGCTTAAGCTGGTTTTATATATATTGTTAGTTATAAATTATTAGATACTTCGGACGTTGTAACAGTTCACGTTTATGTGCGTGTGGCTTTTCAGGAACCCACAGCATATCAGATTATGTTTGAACCATGATTCGCCAAGCAGGCCTTCCACCAAGATTGATACTAGTAAATTCTCCCCGGATATGTTTCTGAATGCATTGTGTTTCATCTGCTTCTCTTAGGTCATTGACTGCAACTCTGTTGTGCTAATACGCTGTGGCGATAGGCCACACCTTTTACCCTTCTTCCTTAACAGGCCCGCACATCCTTCAACATTTTACGATCCTTCGTACACCTGTAAATCGTAAAATGATTAAACCCTTTAAAGTCGAAGAGAGAGACTTGGGACCTGAGAAGTGACCACCTACCTCCATACAACGCCGAAGTTACGAATGCACGGAGCTTCAGGCCTAGTTACTTCCCCCCCATACGCCTTAATATTTTGGTGTCAGGAACAGGCGCTGTGCGTGCGGCCTAAATTATTCGACAGCTACCAGTTTAATACCTTAACTAGAATTAAAGTTAAAGCGTGCATTGATTAATCGATATGTTAATAATGATTGACGCCCGTTTGAATGGCTCTCTGTCATTGAGTGAAATAATTTGTTAGTTGACATAAAATTTCAGTTTAAGTTACAGTATGTAAGGGCTACTCAACTGATGTTATCCAGGACGATTAAGTCAGTGTGTGTAACATGAGCGTGGGAGGTGAGAAATTACCGTAAATGTTAATCTGAAATTTTCTGCGGTAAAAGCGCTTGCGAGAAGTATTTATTGATTTGAGTACAATATTAAAATGGATGTTAAAGAAATAGCGTGTTGGAGCTGTGTGTGGCCTTGGTTCAGCTGCTCAAGATACAAACAATTGTCGGGTTAAATGTTTCGTTTCTTGACAAGCGTTGGTGACTGTGAACTTCTGACGAGAGAAATCCAGCTAATTATTGGTTAGTTCACTCTGGTTCTGAGGCCGACTGTTGTTTCCTGCTGTGCAACTCCACCCACTCACCTTTCTATTTCTTCTTGCATTTTAATAAAACATTTTGCTGCTTTGGGGGTCTGTGACGTGATTTATATGATGGGTAATAAGAACAGACGTCAGTTTTAATGAAATGAATTAAGAAACGCACGCACAAACAGGCATTAGATAATTTGTTTCTTTCTTTTATCGTATGTCTGTATTACAAACCCAAGGTACCCAATCAGTTTATTCTTTTTATGTTAATTGCATGTATGTGAGATCAGCTTTTATGAAACTGCGTATGTACTTGATAATTACTTCTGGTCTAAACTTGGAATTCTTGTGATGAGTAAAACCGTGAACATCTTATGTCAGGATAGGCTGGTCGAGATTCGAACCTGATTCTTCCGGACCTCTCCATTAACGTTCACAAGGATTCCTGTAAAGGTCGCAGTGACGTGTCAGACTCCGATGCGACTGGATGGATGCCCTTTGCCGATATCACGAGTTACGTTCCCTGTTTCAGACGAGTCAGGATGTGAGGCTGACATGGCCGAGGGAGGCCAAGAGGAGGACAGCGGCGACGTAATGTTGGCAACAGCCACCTCTCCTGCCACTGCCTCTTCTGGGGCAGCGATAAAGAGGGACCCAGACGCGCCGCTCAACCTGAAATCTGAGGTGAGTTGGCGTACTCGATGACGCATTCGCTCTTGAACCTGTACTTGTTCATCAACTTTTCCACACTTGCTGGCGCACTTATGTTTAACGACCACAGGCCGAGCTATGTATATCCCAGGCGGCTAGACGCTGGTTTCTCACAGCACAGACCCCCGGGTGACTTTAAGTGAGATTCATGTTGGGCAGTTTACCCCTGGTGATTATCACTCCACCTTTCTCCGTACTTATCTGTCACCACCCTCATCAGGCCCTTAGGGGCTTTGTCTCTCACCGGACATTTGGCTGGTCTCCGAGCAAAGGTAGATGCTATCTCACAATTTGTGAACATTCGTATTATTCTCCACGTTTAATATTGCTATCCATTTTAAAAACTCTTAGACGACACTTTGACTTGTGGTTTGAGCCTGTCCGTCATTTGTTCGAGCGCCTCTCTCCACGCTTTAACTTTTAAAACAGTTGACAGAATTAATGAACCTCGATTTGAACAACATGCCATTACACGCCTCCTCTTTTAAAGTAAGAGACTAAGTTTGACACCCATTACAATAGTATAGATTTATGTGTTCCTGGATGAGAGATGTAACGTTAAAAGATTCAGAACGGAATGCTTGGTAGCAAGTATCTCCCTAATTTATCTCGAAAAGTGCCTCCAATGTTGTTTTAACTTGTCAGTGTTATTTCAAAGTATTTTAACTTTGCCATATTTTTAGAACGTTTATTGGTTATATTATCGTGATTTTACCATTCATTCCGGTGATGTCAAATGAACACGTACTTAGTTTCCTCAAAGTTAATTATTAGCTATGTTCTTGCTATCGTCTGTTAGTTTCTGTGGTGGGTTTTTTGGGGATATAACGCGATGTAAACTTACAGGTTGATATAAGCGTTTCGGGTGAACATACTACCTCCATCTTTGGGGATGGAATGTATTCCACGGGAAGTTGAAATATATCAATACGTCCACCTAGCAACCCAACATATACATCTTTACTGCCCTGAGAACCCCATATCTCGCATTAGGTTCTGTGTATTTTTTATAGCCTTTAATATATTTACTCACTAAATTAACATAACCAGCGTAGACAAAACGTTTGTGTGTGAAGCAGCAGTAATAAAAACACACACCGGGTCCATTATTTGTTTTTATCACTGCTTCCTTGGACAGTCTTCTGAGCAATTTCCTTTTGGGAAAATAATTTTTGGTTCTAAACTCAGTTTTCTCCTAAATCTCCATTCCAGATTCCTAAAGCGTGTCCCCTTTTCGTATAAAACAATGGAAGTGTATGTTCTCGTGTACTTAGCAAATTAGTGAAAATTGACTCATTTCATAATTTACTCCGTAAGGGATTATCTGTATTTATACATGACATTCACAGTACAGGACGGGGTTTCTCGTGCTGTTTGTACAAGCGATTATAAAGTTTGCATTGACCATCCGCTTTGGTTTATGTATTGTAAAATTAGCCTTACTTTATAACTTTGTGTGAGGACCTCCAGTGCTTAGTTTCGTTTTGGGTTAACATAAGACGTCTTGAAGTTTAATTCCTGCTAACTATTAGATCGTAAAATAGTTACCCCTCTTTTTTATCACATTCGGACTTTATACTGGTTTCATATTAATTTTCCTGCATTCTTGATAAGCTGATTTTATGTCTTTAATGCAATCAGTTCAGGTATTATCTACTGTTATGGAATATATAAATAAATATATGTAATTTAAAAATATGTTATACCTAAAATGTTGGGTTATTTTAGCTACTGATATTCTTAAATCAGAAAACTAACCCTTATGTCGTGAAATTATCTAATTATCCACTTAACTATCCGCGTAATTAACTTATTTCTCTGCATAAAGTAAGCTATCCTGATGAAAAAATATTATGATGTTAAATTAAAAATAAAATATTTTCATTTTTGAACTTATATTTATATACTTTTTTATTTTATAAGGGACTTGCTGTTATGGTGTGCCGTTCCGTTCTGTAAGCAAATAACGTTGATTTACCGATGCATGCGGGAAATCAAGGAGGTAATGCAGTGAATTAAAAAAAGGAAAATCCGTATGCAATTAGGTGATCAGAATAAATGTTGAAACGAACGACTTGCAGATAATAATGTTAAATTTATGTTTTTAAATTCAGACTATAACAACGAATCGTTGCGTAAGTCCATACGTGTAGAACATTTTTATTTGTACTTAGTAATTAACAGTGTGGTGTGGCAGGTAAGGTTATGTGGCTAACACGATTTGTTAAACCTATAATTATGTTACAGTGATTAATAATTATTTCTTGCAGTTGGGATTGAGAAGAAATGATGTGTAGGCTTGTTTTACTTTACCACATCAAAATAAATTAACATATTTTGTGGAAGCACCACAGAATAATAATTGATACTTGCTAAGTAAATTTCAGTTTCCCATTTCCAATGTCGAAATATAATTATCCATATAAGAATATAAAACGATATGTTGTAATTGGTTCTAGCTTTAAATCTGACGTTTTCAAGTACTATTCTGCACACATTTCGTTACAATTTGAAAATAAAAATTAGTTCTCCATTTCCTTTACCAGATGTTATGCTTAACCTCGAATAGATTTGATATCAAAGTATTTTTATTCCAGTTATCTTTAATTCAGTGTCCACGCCGACATGAAAATGAAAATTGTCTGACTGGTGAAGACAGCTTAGCAAAGTGAGCAGCCAGGGTTCGATACCCCTGTCGGTTTATTCCACTGCCATTATTCCTCAGCGTCTTATATTTTATATGCAGGTTGTGCTTAAGAAATAAGAATGGGGAAAGAAATATTAAATGACCGTCTCTTTAGTTTCCATTAATGTTTTTATACACCGCTGATAATGTATACAGTCCACTTAGCTCCCTAGACTGCCCTCATTCCTCCGAAGTGCATGAAAGTCGCCCTTAAGACTTTCTATAAAGTCTACATGTATCAACAAACTTACGAAGCTCCCTGTATATCCGCACTGTCCTGCGAGTAATTGTTATGAACTTAAAAGTTTATAATTCCGTGCGTTTTAGTTTTTTTTAAATATAAACAGTTCTTTTAAATGCCATTTGTTACAAACTTGCACGATAGCCATAAAGTAACGTGACCTTGCTATAAATACGTAGGTACATTTTGTCCTGTCGTATTGATACGTGTTACAGAATAACATCAGTTACTGTTTTGTTATTGCGTGTTTGCACGAACGAAAACAGTTCTCTTATTCGTGGACTCGTGGTTGTTATGCATGAAAGTCGAATTTTATTAGATAAATTATTGTTTGGATCATATCATAATTGAGACTGTTATTGAAATCTCATTGATTGGTTTAAATTCGACTTAGAGAATATAAAGATTTCCGATTGAAGAGTGCGGCCTACATGATAATAGTAGGCCTAGGAGGTGCTTATTTATTTATTTTTTTTGGACGGAATATGGCGACGAATTGATTTTATAAGACTGTGTAGTCTCGTACTTATCAATTCTACGGAAAGCGAAGGTCTCGTCTGTAGTAAAATCATACACATTTGATCTCATTGAACTGCGAGAGATTAAAAAGTAATCAGTTGATGGCAATTTGATGGCGGCAATACACACCAGCACAGAGATCCACAATACGTTTAAAATGAAATGTTAATTTAATTGTTAATGTTGCTGTCTGATGCACTTTTTGATTCCTGCGAAAGTCATATTAAAAAAAAACAAGTTCTGTCGGATTTTTAAGACGCATATGTTTCTCTCTAATTCGGATAGTTTTAGTAAATCCCAGTAAAGAATTTTCGTCTTAAAATATTTTGTACAACTTGCCTGATCCATGCGTACATGCAAAGAAATTCGACCAAAGGCACAGGGAAGCTGACAAGCGTCTTCGTTTTATTGTCAAGCGCGCTTGAGGAAGCAGATGGACACAAGAAAAACGCGAATTTTTCGTCTTTCTTTATTCTTCTGTTCTGAGCAAGCAGGACTGTGTAACGGTAATGCTATAGATATATATTATTGAGGGATCCACTTCGAATCTTCTATTTCTAGTCTATTGCGATTACCTGTATATACATTGACTTTAATCCATGTAATAAAAATTGTGTGGGTTGTCTGTCTGCCCGCTCTTTTTTGCATAAATATGACTATTCGTCTTGTATTCCTGAAATATTAATTTATAAAATTGTTTAATGTACAATTGCCTTTTGTTATTATTTCGAAGAATGGCAGCATGTAATGACGGTAATGTGATTTCATTTTTTTTTTAGTTTAATTGGCTTTCTGCTGGAAATGCAAGTGATCGTGTTTGATATAAAAATCGATTATTGAAAGAGTGGAGATATATGTAATGGATTACGGGAGCTTCATCTGACAGAATGACATAGATGTCCCAATTTAGATAATTTTTTGCATTATTTTTATTATTATTATTATTATGCTTGTTTTACCTTTTATGTTTTTATTGTGTTCGTGTGCTCATCTCTGTGCTGTATCTGAAATTGGCCTTCAGGCTGTTGATACAGCACACTAATAATAAAGAATTGAATTAAATTATTACGATAGATCATTAACGCGTGTGCTACAGAAGTTAGTATATATTTGTATGTATTTGTAAAGTTAATGCCAGTCAGAAGTAGTTTACTTGTTTATTAAAGACTCCATAACGTATTTCGATGCTTTTAAAATATCTTGACCGTGAGTTATTCTTAGACGGTGCAGGCATCATGATGATTTGATGTCCTTCATGGAGTCCGAACACCCTTTTTTGGCACAAATAAGAAAATATTTCCCAATATAGGAGATCCTGACCGAATAGTTCTAAGATATGACACGTTAGGACGGACAGAAAATACCTACGTATTATTTATTTAAAGACAGCACTCGTTTCAGTACACCGTAATAAAGTTGCTGGTTCATATGAAGTTAGCCCGTACCGCAAAGAAAACACTTCACCATTACAAAGATCAACTAGTTAAAGCTGTTTAAGGAAGTAGTCGCTGTTTATTCTGAGAATCA